GATTTTAATTACAATTTACTACATCCAATGTCCCCTCAAAGATTTGCTGTGTCTTTTTAATGGTAAATACGCCCATGAGGCTTAAAATAAATGGTACAAATCAAATTGAAAGCAATCTGATTGAAAGGCATTGCTCGAAGAATAAAGGCAAACATTTTACGTCTAACAGGTCATAACATTTTAAAATTACTTCAAAACAGCAATACAAATTTAAAATAAATATATTAAAAAGACATAACACAACTTTGCAGCTTTAATGTTTATAATTTAGGTTTCTACCACTTGGTTTGATCCAAAGATGTCCAACTTTGGAGTGTTATGCTTCAAAGTAGAGACACAAGAAATAACAAATACTGACAAAGGGTATGAAAGAGTATGCATTCTTACTGACGCTATACAGCAAAATCCTCTGCATGAACATCTACATGTCCTCATATAAGCAATAAGAGGATTAAAATTTGAAAGGAAAAATTTTGTCTGTTATCAGATCTGTTGGTTTACAATGACTAGCACAAAGAAGACTATTCCCAAGCATGCTAACAGTATGTGCTTTATGGTGTTGCAAATAACAAATAGACATATTAACAACAAATTAATAATGCAATATGATCACTGACTAAAAAACACATTACATCCATATTTTCTTTTCTGTGGAACAAGCAAGAGGAAAAGATCTCAGCACATAGATCTGTAGCAAGAAAGAAATTTGGAACAGTCGTACAAAGACTTCCGGTTGTTATCTGAGAAACCTTAAGTCACATAAATGTTAAATCCCAAAAAAAGTATTGTTTGAGCAAAGTAAAGGATCAAGAGGAAATTGAACATGGAAACTGCATCAGTATTGTATTTATTAGATTAGAATGGTAAAGAAAAAAAAGACAAAGTAATCACAGACTAGCTTCTTGAGTTGGTTTCTACTAACATACAGGAAATATGCATAGAGCAGTCAGACAACTTCTCCAAGTCATAATTTCCTTAACAGCACAGATTCAGATACCTGATCCTGCACATGAAAAATAGAAGAGAAAAATCTATTCAAAAATAAAAACAAAGGCTGAAAGATACATAGTTCGCAGAGCCTCATATGCATTTCTAATATAGGAAAACACAGACGTAACCTGTTCCTTAAACTGAACAGAAAATAGTAAAATCCTGGTTAGGGATAGTTATTGAAAATCCCCTTAAAGAGAGGAAATGATTCAAAATTGACGTACTGGCCAAGTAACAAACTTTATGGAACTGTTGTCTCTGGGGCAAATGCCCCCAACAGCAACCTTCATAAAATGTTTAATCTACTTCATAAGTAAATGGTTAAAAAAGCAGAACAAGAGTTTCAAACAGACAATGTGAATTGAACAAACTGATGCCATTACAAGTGTGTATAACAGGTAGAGAATGTATGAACAAACAGTTGTCAGAGCAAAAATTAGATATTGTCAGTAACTGCTCTAATTTATGGACTTAAACATTGGAACAGTTACTTCATTTTTCCTCCTTAAGTCTATTGAACAACAGCTTCTTTAGAAAAAAGATGGATGCAATCATTATTGAGGATCAGTTCTTTGTAATTAACTAACTCTGAGTCAAAAGAGAAATTTTTAATTCCCTATTTGCCTCCCCCCGTCGGAGTGCATGGATTGACCATTTTCATTTGTGTTTATCAAAATAAAAATACAGCTCACAACCTAAAGTTCTATTACAGAACTATGCAAAGCCTGATTGAGATTCACTGCACATCCATTGGAGGGATTATAACTAGAACAAAATCTCTTAAGTCTGAAACATAAAATTAAAATAACAATTAAAACAATACGTACCATACAAACAAAAACAAAAAGCAGATTTGATTTGGAAAACACTGGTCTTATCAATTATTTAAATAGACTTAAATATACATAAGTACCAGATTGAGGCCTTCTGTCGCCATAGATTAACACTTCATTTTTCTTTTTTTAAATACACACACACAAAAAAAAAAAATTGGATATTATTAACCAGCTTGCACCAAAAATTTAGAATTGAATCCTGACATTTTAACTAATTCATTTTCAAACCAGTCATTCATACATTTTAAACTAAGCCACTGATTACTTTCTAAGTTATAGCATAGGCATAAGACAAAAATCACAACTGTGGGCTACAAAGCGAACCACTTCAGGACCTTTACATTCCTCTAACATTCATTGCAAATATTCTGAGGCTTCCAACGTATTTGACGAAACTTAAAAATCAAAACCTTACAACATGACTTCTAATGCGTTTTGCATAACACCACTCATGGAAAAAAAAATACTTGTGAATAAATTAAAATACAGGTGGTGAGGTGCAAAGCTAGCACATAAACGCCAAGAACCCTGTCAGACCAATATTAGCTCATAGAACTATGGCAAGTCACTAACTCTCACAATTTGCTTCCCTGAGGATTACCATGAAGCACTCTTGTTGAGTTCTTTGGAGAGAACAAAATGGTAATGAAAAATGGATTCACTGACCCTAACAACATTCAATTCAACACATGCACACTTCCTTTACAAGGCAACCTTGATCACAGCTGAATAACTAAATTGAAACAGCTTAGGTCTTGCAATATATTCGAAGTACATCACAGACAATTTGTCTTTGCAGTTCTGAAGACACATACTGAGACATTAAATTGGGGTGTAGTCACCCTTTGGAGTATAGAGAAACTTCCCTCTTGAGATACGGAAAAACAGCTCTCGCAGAAGAAGCTTCTTCTCCTTCTTGATTTTCTTCAAGATACCTTTGTTTTCTTGAGCTCGTCTTGATAGATATGGCAGGACCTCATTCACAGGACCATAAGGAATATACTTATATGCAGAGTAGCCAGATTGTCCTGAAATAAGGCACAATCAAAACTGTTACTCAAATGTTCATGTTTCCTTTCATATTGTGTATACAAAGACAAACATCTCAGCAGATATGTTCAAAACTATAGATAAAAACTATAGATAAGATTATGACAACTCATAAATGAAATACTCACCAAGAGGGAAAGTGATGTAATCACACATTCCCAGAAGCTGACCAAAGCAGAGCACTTTATCCTCAGGAGAAATTCCAATTTCCTTCATTCTGTTAGATAGAAAATATGTCAATAAGATTATTTGGTTTTCAATCTATTAGATGAAAAAGATCTCTTTTTCCTTACTTTTCAATGGCATAACGGACGGTATCTTCATTATGACTAGCAACCATGATGCCAATCATGTTCGGTTTCCCCTTAGACTTAAGATCCTTGATACGTCGCAAGCACTCAGTCAAAGTAGTGTGATAGCTTTCACTTGTTGCTTCAAAAGATGGACATGTTGGGTCATTATAACCAAGGGCGGCGGCACGAGCCCTCTCCTGAGACAACAAAATGTATTACAAGATTAAAATATATCAATGAAAGGGAAAAATTACGTGGCAAAGAAAGCCAAGTACAAATGAAAGTTTACCTGTTCTAGGTATGCACCTCTGACCAGCTTAGCACCAAAGTAGAAGTTTTGCCTCTTGGCTTGTTCAAGATCAGTCACAACTTCATTAAATGTATCCTTCAGATAACACTGGTAAGTATTAAAAATAAGAGCCTAGAAAACAAGATGTGATAGTGAGACAACAAGTTGATATGCAAGTTCTTCAAAACTCATCACGAATGATAATCTTAGCTACTGCCTACTTTTTTAGAATTATATTTGCGCATAAACTCCAGGGTGATTCGGGAAATAGCAGGCTGGAAGTAAGTCTGTTCTGCATCAACCATCATACGCACATCCAGGTCTTCCGCTGTCTGTAAAATTAGAGAATAGAAAATTACACTGCTATATTTAAATATATCATTAAAATAAAATAAAATAAAAAACAAAAAAAAGCAGAAAGACAAAAAATTTCTTTACCTGAGCTAGAACATTTATCCGCCTAATCATATTTCGGAACATCTCTTCTTCTTTGGAGGAAAGCTGCGTAAGTAATCGTACCATCTTTCCACTCTTAATGTCTGGGACAAGGAATGTTTCACTAAGCTCCAAGTTCTCATCAATGATACCACTCCATGGGAATAAATGAATAAGTCTAAAATAAAAGTTAACAGTTAGAAAGGTTCAAGATTTCTTAATGTTCAAATCTCAGTAGAGCTGCTCATTTACCCTTCTTGATCAAAAGTCACATTTTGCAAGAACTTCTTAACTGGAGCTTCACTGAGTTTGCAAGTCTGCTGCAATTTCTGGTGAAGTTGTTCAGGCGAAATGTGTTTTCCTATGATGTTGCCTTTGTCTTCCGGAGAGCTCCGATTAGCTTGAGCAGTTTTGGCTGTGATTTCTGCCATGTACTGACGAGTCCTCATGATAACTTCAGACAGTTGAAGCTGATTGAATAATAAAGATCAAGCTACAGAGGTATACAAATAAACTAGTGAATTTAGATCATTTTTATATAAAACAAACATACCAACAACTGTGGTCTTCCAAGAGCTGTTAACTTAACAGCTGCAAGACCTGTTCCGTATGTGGCTCCTGCAGTTATAAGTTATTCATCAGTAAAAGTAATTTAAAAGGTCCTTGGGAGATAATAAAAAGCCATTGAGGTGTAAAAAATACAATTATTTAATATCTTACCAGCCACAGCTTGCAGAGACTGTTGAAAGATCTCCAGGTTTCGTTCGCAAGTAGCTTCGTTCAGGTAGAAGTAGGTTCTCGCACTTGATACTTTGTAACGACGGTCAGCAAATGTCTTGTCTACATGGAACTGTGGCATTGTACCTATTCGTAAAAAAAAAGAGGAATTAAAACAATGATATTTTAATTAGGTGCTAAAATTTAAATAAATTGAAAATCAAGCCTACACACATGTACAGAATTCTCTACTCCAAGTTAAGGAAGAAAATAAACAAGTCATCATAATTTATACTACCAACCAACCATACTTCAGTTTGAACCAGTACCTGAACTTAGACTAAGATTTCAGAATGGACTGATAATACATGCACTTTAACACCCAAAGAAAAATATAAAGTTAAATGTATAAACAATCTGTAATGAGTGAAAGAAAAGAAAAGAAAGGTGATTATAAAATTAAAACATGCGTCATGCTATGTGAATCTATGTTACTTCAAATAAGTTTGATTCCCACCAGACTTCAGGTTCTCAAGGAGGGGGGACTGAAGGAAATGGGGAAGTGAATCGGTTAGCTTTGCAAATGTAAAAGATGAAAGTTAGTACGTATTATTGTTAGGATATGTATGAAAAATGAATTGTGAAACATAAGAGAAGTGACATTACCTAAGTTGACAGTCAAGACTAGGATAGCAGTATGGCATGCAATAAGTATAGAAAATCTCCCGAGAGAATCCCTTTCAGATGATAAAGTCCAAACCAGACATCGGTCGGTGCCGGTACTGATACCTTCCACAAGACTGCGTCCTGCTCCTCCTTTCCAGTGACCATCCTCACCGTCCATGTACAATCCATGAACAGGATCTTCATGAGCAGAAACCAAGCACAATTTTGAGCCTCTCCATTCTGACATTAACTGACTTTGTTTCTTACTGTTAAGGACCTGAGCACTCCATTTAAGCCAAGCACGCCTAAAAATATCTGTCATGAATTTTTTTGAGAAAATGTGCTCTGATAAATAAGTAGGATATAAAAAATTACATTGTTCACATGAAGAGTATCATTAACACAAGTAAAGATGGCAAATAAGTACTTTATCATCTTTGGGACCAAGAATAAAAATTCACCACAAAACAGATCACACATTCAACTTTTCAATGTTATTTGTAATATTCTGTTGTGATGAAAATTCTCAAAATTTGATTAAGGAACGGGACCTCTCCTATACACCTAAAACAAGAAAAGTGTTTGTGAATTTCAGGCTTCTCCACTGCAAATGTGTTCCAAGTGAATCGGATGTAAAAGTCAATCCAATTTTCTGTAAAGGTAACATTTCCCCCTTCTTTTCTGTATAGAGTGTAGAGCACACCTAAGTTCTGTGACAAGAATTAAGATCATCTAAGACTTATAAAAGCCATGACAAAAGCGCACTACGCCTATTCACCTTGTTGAAAGCATAACTCACTCTAAAATCAAAGGAATCAAATCAAAACTAGAAAAAAAGGATGCAAAACCTGTCAAAATACACAAACAATCGAACTCACCCCCCAGTTCAGCTGCTTTAGATCCTGAGAGAAAAACAAAAGACGGAGGGAAAGTTGATACTTGTTTTATGAGGGATGTGGGGATGTGGGTTTTGAGAGGCCATTACATAATTAAACTAGCTAATGGAATTTTTGGGCTACAAACAGAGGTCTTCATCTCTAGTGAAAGGAAAAGGGAACAATCACAATTTCAAGATTCCATTTTTGCTATCGCTCACTGGTTGTTAGCTTAATCTTTTTGCAAAAAAAAATTGAATTGAATATTAAGTACCTAAGCATAGATTTAAATTCTATAGAGTTTCACTTCTACACTTCTTACAAATAATGTATGGAGCATGTGCATTGAGAGTTGAAGAATTTGTAGCATCTATATAAATGACATTTAGAATATGAGATGAAAGAAAATGAATTACAGGCAGAATGTTAGGAAGCAGAGGAAACCTGTCGGGATGCATTGCTTAATCAGTTGGTATGTTGGAGTGAATTTGGTTTCCTCCATAGACATGAACTACAGGATGTCAGTTTTGACATTTGACTGGTCAGGTATTACAATTCAAGGGAGGACTTTCATGTCACTAGCTTGAATAAAAGGTCTCGCTACGGGTGGGCTGTTTGGCGGAGGTAAGCTCATCATTCATAGCTTTTCGAGCCAAGCTGTGCCGAGTACAAAATCAGCACAGTCCACAACGAAGCTATGTATATGGATCCTAAGAAGCTGCGCGAAAATCACACCTTGAATTGAACACCCTGTGTGACCTGACAAGTCAAAAATGGCTCACATCAAGGTTCTGCTACGACAAAATTGATTTAAAAAAATGTTTGGTAGATAAGTCTTAACAGTTGACATTTTTTAAATCCATTGCATGCCTGGGAAATCCTTCGAACATGCTGAGATGATTCAGACGTGCTCCAAGGCTTTATGCAGGTTTCAATCACATTATGCTTATTATTAGGGGCCGTCCATTAAGAGCCGCCCGGTCGCGAATATGGGGGGAGGGGGGGGGGGTACAACAATTAGGAAGTCCATTGAAACTGTGCTATTTAGAACTAATTCATTACTGAAAGATATTTTCAAAAGATTCATGTTTATACTTTCCGTTGTTGTAGAGCGGGGGAGGGGGGGGGGGGGTCGTCAACACTGGTAATTGCGGTAATCTGCACATTTTCGGAAGCAGGAAGGCCCATACAGGAATAATCTGTAATCCTGTAGTATTGAAATTCTTTATCGTGGACTTGTTAGAATGCGATATCGCTACGAACTGGAGCCCAGCGCGACAAGGAGCGTCATGCTCTTTAGGCAAACACGACCGGACTGTCCTTAAGGGGTGGCCCGAAACGGACATTTTATCGTAAAAATTTAGTTGAAGTATGCCATATGCAATCTTACCTTGCACCTTCTCATCGCCAAGCTCGGATACACTCGACCTGCAAGCAAAATAATAGCATGAAATACAAGCAAAATTTCATTTGAAAAAATATAGCCAGGTATAAACTTGATAACATTACAAATTGAAGGTACGTCTTGATTACTATGTGCACATTGTAAATAGATTTAGAAAAAGCAATCAGTGCCTGAGCAGTGAGAAATTTTCCAGCCCTTACGAATGTATTATTAGCCCCTACAAATGTTTCAGACCACAAACTACTTTTGATGCATTTACAAGGAAATAACGACAGCAACTGGTTTCAGTGCAATGAGGTAGCTCAAGCAAAATGCCTACAGCTATACACGTCGCTGTCGGGGAGCAGATTCGCTCTTCTCTTGTAACAAGTAATTAAATCAAGCGCGGTAATGTACTTTGCTGCACGAGCTATAGTGAGGGGTGCTATGAGTGCATGAGGCTTGGACCTGCCCCAACCAGAGGCTAGCCCATGGCTTGCTGCCATACGGCCATACTTACATAGGGGATTCTGCCCTGCAGCCAGCACAAATTAATAGAAAAACGTCAGAAATACGATATGGTGCGAATTGAAATTATTGCAGGAAGAGAAAATAAAACTCAAATATTTTTTATTTAAAAAAAAAACAAAAAAAAAACAAACAAAACACAGAAGACTTTGCATAAAGATGGACAGGTTGGCACTAGGCCCGGGGTGCGCAGGGAGGGGGGAAGGATCCCCCCCCCCCCCAACAAAGAAAACTCGAAAAAAACAACTCCCACCCCTCTCACCCGATAGACACAGGGCCCGCTCAACTCAAACAAATACTTACTCAACCTCTCTCTTTTCGGCCTCCTCCTGACTCAGATCCTCTTCAACGGAGTAGTCCAGGATAGGCTTGACGCCGAATGAGCGCAGTCTCTCCAGGGTTGGTCTAATACGTTCCTGATCCTCTCCTGCCACGAAGTGGCCGTAGAAGGTCCCCTTCATGAGAGCGGTGAACATCTTTTCCCCCATGACGGCCTTCATGATCTTCATAAGCTAAAACAAACAAAAACGCCAAAATACGGTTACCGATGAGACACAAACCAAGGTATTTTTCTTCGATCTGAACAGGTAGTCTGAAAGTGTGAACACTGATAAACTAAGTGTGCAACTGCTCAACATTTGTAACTGTGCAACTCCGTAGTCGTACACTTTCAAGTGTTCAAATCGGTAGGCGTCGGTAGGTGTGCACTTGCAAGTATTCAAATTGCAGTTGCACACTTGCAAGTATTTAACTTGCAGTTCCAAAGTTAGACGTGTTGAGCAGTTGAACACTTAGTTTAACTGTGCTAGTGAGAGAAGTTAGGCGTCGCAAAAATCCTCAAGTGGTAGATGCCAAAGACAATCTATGCCATACAGTCGGTCGGTGCAGGGTAAGAAGAAAGGAGAAGAAAAGAGAAGAAAAAGAAGAACGTGTCTATTTCGGTGCCTACCATGCACCGTTTGGCCCGGCTGCACGCTCGGGGGAGGCCCACGCCGACTTCTGGCTGAGTCCTCCACCCTTACCCCGCCCTGCTTCATGCTGTAGAGTAAGTCAGTACAGTGTTGTGCTGTTCGACGCCTAGTTAGAGGGACCCTGGCAACCGCTGAGCACCAGCTCCCAAACCGGTAGGGCATCAGCAGGACACCGACAGAGCATGGCAAAGAACTTTTTAAAAATAATGAAAAAATCGCATAGCTGAAATAAGTTTTTAAAAAAGGGGGCAATGGATTCACGCGGATGCATCAAAGCAATGAAAACTGCGACATAAACTCTTTTCTAAATAATTACCGTCTGTTTACGTGTCTGCCCCCCCCCCCCCACGTCGGGTGAAAATAGCCCCACAGAAAAAGAACTTGGTTTGTTAGGAGCCGACCCCCCACCCCCCTCTCCTCAGTGTGAAATCAACGGGGTGCGCTGTCTCACGACAGACAGTCCTTCCACTTTTGGCCTTTTGGCTCGGGCGCCCCCTCAACCCCCTCAACCCCCGTGTGACGCGCACAGCCGGCGCTCCTCACCTGTGGGGACAAAACAACCCCCAGCCGCCCCGCCACGCAAAGGGCCCGGCCGGCCGCCCAGCGGATGTTTATTTCGAGTGAATAAATAACGCCAGGGCCCGCCAAGAGGAGGAGCCCAGGGCTTTTGTAAACATGTGGGGTGTGTGTGTCTGCGCGCGTGTGTTAGTGTGTCTGCGGGTGTGACCACACGTGACCACAACATGACGCGCCTCGTCGCCCCCTTGAACGCCGCTCACTCTCGCAGTCCCACACGACCGTACGCGTACCTAACCGCCCCTTTCCTTATTCGCGACACTGGTTCTTACTGCATATACATATATACATCATAGGCCTGGAGACAAAATGCAAGAAATAAAGACAAGCCATCCGCCGCCCGACACGCACGCGAGACGCGAGAGCCCGAGCGGCGCCGAGCGGCGCGGAGCAGCGCGGGCCGCGGGGTGGCCGAGCGGGGGCCCCCGGGGAGCCGGGGTAGGCCCGCCCGCCCGCCGCGCGCGCTTGGCGGGCGGACCTACCCGTCCCGATCGCAGGCGCCCAAGCCACGAGCCCACCCGCGCAGTTCCGTACGGGCGGAGCATTGCACAGCCCAAGTTGCGATTAGGAATCAACATTATGAGAAACAAAATTCGGTCTAAGGAAAGACTATTGCAGTTGTTGCCGCACATCTGCTGAAAGGCCCTGTTTATAAGGGCCCTCCTGGGAGCCTAGCGCCCGCGCCGCCGCCACAGACAGAGGGCCACTCGAAAAGCGATCAACGCGAGTCGCGTTATCGCACTTAGCCTCCTCGAGGAGCGGGCGAGACGGGCGGCTGAAGCTAAAGCCACGGTCGCGGTCGAGCCGCGTGGTCCACGCCGAGGGCGGCGGTGACGGCAGCACTTCAAGTGCGCTCGGCGCCCCCCGCGCCCCCGGTCACGGACGGCAACCACGGCCACAGCCGGGCACAGCGCGCTGGGGCACCCGCCCGCCGGGTGTTGGTAAACAAGCGACAAACCCTTGGTAAGCCCAGGTAAATATAACGTATCAAAAGCATATCACTGGCACTTCAATGGGCCATGCGTGCGAAGTGTGTGAGGGGGGGAGGGGGTGGGGGGGTTGTTTACCGTAGATAGGCGTTGAGGCCCCCCTTCCCTCTCCCGCAGTAGTACTCCAGGACAAACACTAACAGGCGGACAAGGCTGGCCCGCCCTCCTCCCCGCCCGCACACACAACGCCGTCAACGTCCATTGACAAGACCCCACTTCAGTTGGAAGTGACAGACGCGTTCAGCCCACATAGAAATCTTTCACGGGCTGAGCGCTCAAATGCGATCTTTGCCACCTGCCCCCTGCCCCGGGGAGCGCGCAAAGGAGTTGCTGCCACCGCCGGGACGAGAACCCCGCCCGGGCGGCGGCATTCATCCCGTAGGAAACGTCTCCGATGGCGGCAATGGCAGCCACCGCTTTATTCTTAGCTCGCCGGCATACAGACCGTGCCGCCACCAGGCCGGCTCGCGGCGCGGGGCCCGGGAGGGGGGGGGGGACAGGTGAGGTGCAAAACCTGACTCTGCAACGACAAAATTATACACTGTACGAACCAAATTACAAGACCTATTGGCCAATTGGCAAGGCGGGCTCAAAGACGCGTTTAAACTATACGGACGACAGAAACCTATGCTGCCGTAGTACTACCGGCAAGAGTGGCATATACGACCTGCACTATCGTTGAAAACCGATCGGAGGACGGGGTAGCAGCCGTTTCCAAAGTGAAACTCTTTAATTTTAACGGCCTTGCCAAAAGGTGGTCACAACGCCAGCCCGGCCCCAGCCCGGCCGCAAACATGTTCGTCCGCTTCTTCTCACTCTACGAGCCAGGGCATCCGCCTGTAAGCGGCAGATAGGCAATTTGCGATACGAAACGCTCTGTACGTCGCCAACCTACGTGCGAGAGGGTCCGAGCTGCATCACGAGGCTCACGTCAGTGAGAGGCGTAGGGGAGCACCCCCCCCTCAAATTATACCCCCCCCCTGCCCCGCACCGGTGCCGCGCCGGCTTTCTGTAATGAGATGCGAGGCAGGGCGGGGGCGTGGCGTGGCGGGTCAGAGGAGCGACGTGGAGGCGGGTGCGGGCAAGAGGGGGGGCCCGGCCGGCTTTTTTTATTGGGAGGGGGGGAGGGGGGGGGGGGGGGGGGGGGGGGTCGTCAACACTGGTAATTGCGGTAATCTGCACATTTTCGGAAGCAGGAAGGCCCATACAGGAATAATCTGTAATCCTGTAGTATTGAAATTCTTTATCGTGGACTTGTTAGAATGCGATATCGCTACGAACTGGAGCCCAGCGCGACAAGGAGCGTCATGCTCTTTAGGCAAACACGACCGGACTGTCCTTAAGGGGTGGCCCGAAACGGACATTTTATCGTAAAAATTTAGTTGAAGTATGCCATATGCAATCTTACCTTGCACCTTCTCATCGCCAAGCTCGGATACACTCGACCTGCAAGCAAAATAATAGCATGAAATACAAGCAAAATTTCATTTGAAAAAATATAGCCAGGTATAAACTTGATAACATTACAAATTGAAGGTACGTCTTGATTACTATGTGCACATTGTAAATAGATTTAGAAAAAGCAATCAGTGCCTGAGCAGTGAGAAATTTTCCAGCCCTTACGAATGTATTATTAGCCCCTACAAATGTTTCAGACCACAAACTACTTTTGATGCATTTACAAGGAAATAACGACAGCAACTGGTTTCAGTGCAATGAGGTAGCTCAAGCAAAATGCCTACAGCTATACACGTCGCTGTCGGGGAGCAGATTCGCTCTTCTCTTGTAACAAGTAATTAAATCAAGCGCGGTAATGTACTTTGCTGCACGAGCTATAGTGAGGGGTGCTATGAGTGCATGAGGCTTGGACCTGCCCCAACCAGAGGCTAGCCCATGGCTTGCTGCCATACGGCCATACTTACATAGGGGATTCTGCCCTGCAGCCAGCACAAATTAATAGAAAAACGTCAGAAATACGATATGGTGCGAATTGAAATTATTGCAGGAAGAGAAA